CAGGATACAGTTGGGTTTGCCCACCGCCCATAGGTTGACCTTCTTGTCGTCTCCGCCGGTGACCAGAACCCGGCCGGACTTGTGACCCAACGCCAGGCAGTTCACATTGGCTCCGTGCGCAACGAACTCTTCTGCGGAGAAAAAAACAAAATAATTAGAACCAATCTGCGGTTTTAAGTAATTTGTAGGACTCAAATACGAATGGATTAAATGAGATGTAATTCATTATACCGGTAAAGACTTCACATATTAGAGAGAGGGATGAAAACTAACTCGTGGAGTTGAGGGAGGGAGACAGAAGACGTAAGAGAAGAGAGAGTAAAAAAGTGAATGTTAATCCCCAATAATGCCAGCGCCTTGGGTCATCACACAGGGCCGACCGGTTAGATCAGAGCCAGGCCAAGCACGTTCTCGGAATCTGCACGCTGACCCGTTCCTTTACCATCAACCGCTGTCAACGTGTTCGCGGAAAGCGGGCTAATTTTCTTAAATTACGCAGCCAAACATTATACCCTACGCGCGGTCATGCCACCTTCACCGTGTTGCTGGTCACCCTTCATCTATTTACGAATTCATTCAAAATCAATAGGCCGCGTCTAATACAGAGAAGAAAGATAGCCTGTGAGATATACAACATGTATATGTATGTGACAGCTTCTTTTCATGGAACTGCCTGTGAGTCACATTTAACTGCAACTACACATACTCGTACTTCACAACGGATGACGAAATCCGAAGGACAACGCTCAGACTCCCAACCCTGGAGGCCCCAAGAAAAAAGATGGACAAGAGCAGAGCATGGGAGATCCAAAACGCCTGCAGTGGCCAAGGAATACATCGGGGCTCCATGCGGGCGCGGGCTCCGCCTTGCCCTCACCTCTTGGGTGAAGGTGACGCCCTTACGCCTACCAGGGAGCGACCCAAATTATTCATGCCTCTACAACCTCCACAACATCCGAATAGAAAAAAGGAGTCTCGGAGCGCTTACTCCGCCCGAGGTCTATCCTAGACAATTATGACGACTTGGCCATTCTGACCTTGAATTTCATGACCGACCCCTCCCCCTGGTCCCCTCCCCCACGACCTTTCTCCATCTCCACCCGCACTTCTCCATCATCCACTCTTAGCCGAAATTACACTCAATGACATGTATGGTTGCCGTTCCTCCTCGCTGCCCTGCAACCTAAGCGAGCCCCCCCCCCCCCAACACACACACAAATGCAGCTTCGAGATGTTTATTTACACCCTCTACCTCCGCGGAATGGCCAAGGTCGAACTTTACATTCCCGGCTCCCCCTTCCCCAACACCAACCAACCAGCACCCCCCCCCTTCTCCTTCCCTTTTGCCCCGACCCTGGCAGCTGTATCGTCGCGTGCCACTTATTCTATAAAACAGCTGGTCTGGCCCACAGCTCGATGGTTTTCGCGTTCCTGGACAGCACGAATGATGGCATTCACCAACGCCTCTCTCGTTTCTCGCTTTCGCTCCTTGCTCTTGCTCTCTGCCTCATCTGCCTCTTGTACAGAACCTGCCATATGTTATCCATGACGCATACAATTATACACGTCACAGCATTCTCGTCAGCCTGCGGTGCACACTCTGCCTGCCCCACCTCCACCTCCACGCATACACATCATCGACCAGCCCTTCTTAAAAAACGACGGAAAAAAACAAACAGCACCTCTCTTTCTCACAGTGACAATCAGACTAATACGTCTTTTCCTTTGTTCTTGCCCCGGCTACCTGTCACTTACCAAGATCTGTGTGTGTGGCTGGGGGCAGCATGGGGGGAATGGGACAGGTGAAAGGAACAGGGCTTTTGAACGATGCCGCGAAAGGGGAGGAATGGGTGACAGATAAGCCAGGGAGAGGGGGCCGAACGGCGTGTGGGGAGAGCCGAGGAGCGTCACGGCGAGCGGTGAGGCTGGTGACTCACCCGAACCACCATGACGGACTGCTCGACAATGTCCGATACACTGACCTACGACGTCTCTGCCTCCGCATGGAACCGATACAATCAATCGGCCAACCGTTGCCGATTCATTTCCTTGTTTCTCTTGCCGGCGCGTAAGAGAATAGGAATTACCAGGAAAAGGTCTCCGCCCGCGATGAAAGGGGGGCGGGAGCGGGAACGGTGACGCGGAAAGAGATCGTGAGAGTAGACGCCGACTTTGGAAAAGCTGCGAGTACTGGCTCTGCCTGACTGGAACTTCCTAGAACAGGTTGAGTCACCCTGCGCGCCGCCCTGCCGCCTCCACTTGTTGCCACCGATATCCTATGCGCCGTCAGAGCTCCTCGTGCAATATTTCATGCAAAAGATGGAGGGAGAGAGATAGATATAGACTGATCTATATATATATACTGATATACTTACACACATACATAAAAGTGTGTGTGTGTGCGTGTGTATGTATGTGTGCGTGTGTATGTGTGTGTGTGTGTGTGTGTGTGTGTGTGTGTGTGTGTGTGTGTTGTGTGTGTGTGTGTGTGTGTGTGTGTGTGTGTGTGTGTGTGTTGTGTGTGTGTGTTGTGTGTGTGTGTGTGTGCGTGTGTATGTGTGTGTGTGCGTGTGTTGTGTGTGTGTGTGCGTGTGTATGTGTGTGTGTGTATGTGTGTGTGTGTGTGTGTGTGTGTGTGTATGTGTATGTGTATATGTGTGCGTGTGCGTGTGCGTGTGTATGGGTATGTGTATGTGCGTGTATGTGTGTGCGTGTGCGTGTATATGAGAGAAGTGTTGAGGGGAAGTAGAGAAACCATAAAAACATACAAAGAGAGAGAAAGAAAAAATAATGCACCCGCTACAGTGACCTTGTAAATCCGTGTCTGACCCCGCATCATCAGCCAACTCAGACAACAAAAAGCATGCCTCAGCGCACTCCCCATCTGCACCGTCGCGCAAACAACTGCTGGCTCCCCCCCCCCCCCCCACCACCAAAGTAACTGCTGGTATTAAAACGCAAAGCAACCAGTCGAAAAAGCGAGAACCCGTACAGGATATGCCGCCCACAGAGCAAGCACGCCCGGAACTCGGCGCAGGACTCCACAGGCACGCGTCTTCCCGGCCTTCCACAGGGCGTCAATCACAACACTCGTGACGGGGAAACATAACAAAGACGCGATTACGGGTTTCGGACGTGCTCTCGACGCCAACGTGGGAGAACAGCGCGGCGTGGCGAACAGAGAACAAGAAATTAATAATGAGGATCATGAACAGCAATCGCCGACCTCGACGATGCCAGCCGAGGCGAGCAAGCAATCATAAAATAAGAGAAGAGAGAGAGAGAGAAGAGAGAGAGAGAGAGAGAGAGAGAGAGAAGAGAGAGAGAGGAGCAGAGAGAGAGAGAGAGAGAGAGAGAGGGAGAGAGAGAGGAGATGAGAGAGAGAGATGAGAGAGAAGAGAGAGAGAGAGAGAGAGAGGAGAGAGAGAGAGAGAGAGAGAGAGAGGAGAGAGAGAGAGAGAGAGAGAGAGAGAGAGAGAGAGAGAGAGAGAGAGAGAGAGAGAGAGAGAGAGAGAGAGAGAGAGAGAGAGAGAGAGAGAGAGCTCCCAGCTCCGTGTGCTTGAATGTGTTGTTTGCCGATGTGGCAGTCGCAGGAAGGGCGCGTCCTTGGCCTTCGGGCAGCGCCGTCCTGACCTGCCCCTTCAGCACACTGATCATTTCCTGCACTCGGCCGACCGCATGGTCTCGCACCCAAGGCTAAACAGATTTGAGTCTCCGCTAAAACTGCCTCGAGCCTTATCATTGCAACCAAATTGACCCTCGCCTTTCCGGTAGCCTTCGTCCAACAAGAGGAGCTGAAGCTTTGCTTCGGAAAGAGCAACACGTCAACCTCAAACACAAAAAGTTTATTTTTACATGAATCTCGGCCGGGAAAAAGGAGGGAATTACTTGTTTGGCCTCCGAATGGCCTGCAGCTGTGGTGATTGCCGCATATCACCTGATGGACGATCCAACCGAAAAACTTGCACTGGTAATAGGAAACCATTTTTGTATTTGGAGGTCCTAAATATAGATTGAGAGAGAGACGGCACGAAGAGAGTGCACTTTTATCATGAAGTATGAAGGGAGTGATAAAAATGTGAAGAACCGGGGATGAGAGAAGAGGAGAGGAACAACAAAACCATGAAAAAAACAGTGGAATGCGAAGGAGCAGAGGAACGAGAGAGAGAAAGGGAGGAAGGAGGAAGGAATCCACATCGACACGTAGCCGCCGCCGCCGCTCCACACCACATGCACTTGATTAACATCGCATTTTTTATCCTATTTCGCCGAAGCCTAATTGTATGCACACCTGCAGCGCTTTCCGAAATCACAACAAAAGTATCGTCTTTTGGGTTAGAATCTAATCATCTCTGTCCAAAAATACCTAATGCAGAAGACCTGCGCTCCAAACACCTTCACCGTTACCATAAAAATAATATTAACGAGAAAAGGCAGGCTGCAGTTACTGCTCTCTACGAACCGCAGTCGCTTTCTCAATCACAAACACAATAAATTTAATCCTACTCTCCGAATGTTAAATCCCCCGAAGCGAAGTTACCCCCCCCCCCTCCCCTACCGTCACAACCTCCGCCCGCAACCGCCATGCCCAATACCCATCTGGTGACCATAAACGACACGCCACTCCACCGCTGCCTCTGAGCACCAGATGTACACCGACGGCAACGGCTCAAGGACTACCTTTGAAAGTGAGAAAGTGAGTGAACGAGTCAGTGAGTGAGTGTAAGTGTGTTTGTGTGTGTGTGTGTGCGTGAGAGAGAGGAGAGAGAGAGAGAGAGAGAGAGAGAGAGAGAGAGAGAGAGAGAGAGAGAGAAGAGAGAGAGAGAGAGAGAGAGAGAGAGAGAGAGGGGGGGCAAAAAGAGTAAGGAGGATGGGAGGAAAGGGAGAGGGATAGGGGGAGAAAGAGATCGGTGGGGGCAGAAGCTACCGTTTTCGACCACCGTCGCATTTTTCCCTCAGCGGATCACAACTCTGATGCAAAAGTTTCCAGATACAACCACGGAATCCTGAGCACAATACCCTCGAGAGCTCAAATGCCTAAGAGAATACCACCACATGAGCTCGGTCTCATCCAAGCGCACAGTTTAGGCGGCGGCAACCAAAGCACACGAGGAAATGGGATCGTCTCAGG